CATCTCTTCCACAGTCAACAAACATAATTCATTTCGTATTAACTCAAGTATTTTAACTCAGATATTTATACATGTTACCATCATCATATCTCCATTTTCATTTGACTATAATTATTTAAACGTCCTTCATCATAAAATATACCAAGATTTAATACATAACCACATACTGGCATTTCATTTACTATTTCTAAAATCCTCCATTAACACTGAATCCTTATGTCCTATTCTAGCTAAACATCCATATTATTTAATAACTAAGTTTTCTATCCTTCTTTCCAAATCATTGTACCGAGGAGCATTTTGAGCTCCTATTTGGTGTTTGCTTGGGGGGGGGGGGGATTTCCTTGATTTGCTTCAGCCCTTGCTGATAGATGACATGCCTAAAAAGTATGGCACAGAATGTTGATCCTGGACTGTTGATCATATTTGACTAGTAGATTCTCCCATCTAACTACAACAAGTAATCTTTAGCTTACAACCACAACTGAGCCCAAAATTGCTGTTGCTAAGTAAGACATTTGTTAAGTGGTTTTACGACCATTTTACGACCTTTCTTTTCACAGTTACATGAATCACTGTGGTTGTTAACTTAATAACATGGTTATTAAGTTAATGTGGCTTATCCACTGACTATGCTTGTCAAAGGTTACAAAAGGTGATCACATGAATGCCAGGATGCTACAATCATCATAAATGTGAGTCAGTTGTCAAGTACTTTGATTATGTGACCATTGAGATGCTGCAATGGTCCCAAGTGTGAAAAACAGTCACAAGTCTCTTTTTTTCAGTGCCATTGTAACTTTGAACGGTCACTAAATGAACTGTTGTAAGTTGAGGACTACCTGTTCAGTCATGCTGCAATGGTTCTTACTGAATATTGGCCCCAATATACATTCCTTGAATGAACTGTGCACAATTTGCAGCCTTAATTATTACTAAGGTTATTGGCAGGGAGAGGATTGTATGGGTTTTTCAAGTGTTTGCCCTGCTCATTCTGGGGCAGAATGAAATGCAAGTTGAGAAAACAATTAAGAGGATTCACTGTTGCACTGTTGAGGTATAATGAGAGGCATTATAAATGTCATTGGATAAGAATTCAGAGGATATTGATTTTTGTGTTGTTTATCATCCTTTTTGCGCTCCCAATGCTCTTAGCCAACAAGCACAAGCCTTGGATTGAAGCTGAGTATCAAGGCATTGTCATGGAGAATGACAATACGGTCCTCCTGAACCCTCCACTCTTCGCTCTGGACAAGGATGCACCATTGCGCTATGCAGGTATGTCACTGGCAGGCAAGCTCATAGCTACATTTTTCATTAGCTACATTCAAGTCCATAGCCAGAGATTAACTGAGGCTTGTGAAATGAACTGTTTTATGCAATGCACCAAAGGCTGAACCATAGTCTTCAAATGGATGGGTCTGAGTATCAAGTTGAAGCCAAACAAAAATGCTGTGATGAAGCCTCTGTCAATTCAGTCACTATAGTTGCATAAGGAAAGGTCAAATTCAATGTGATTAAATAATGAATTAGCTGACACATTTTTTTTTCTTACTAAAGAATAGACGTAAGGAAGCCTGATCCAGATTAACACCCCAGACTGGGAATTAGGCCACGGTCTTTGTGACCAGAAGAAGGCTAGGTCTCAACCTTTTAAACCTTTTTTCACTATCTCCTCCCTCCTCCCTTGTTGGGGTTTTGGGTGAAGGAATTAACTTTGAAGATATGGACCAAAGAGTCAATTTCTTTTCCTTTAGAAAAGAATTTTTTTCCAGGTTTTTCCACCCAGCTCAGGCATTCCTTTTTATTTGGCAATTGGCCTGCCTCGGGTATTTTATGGCAAGGCAAGTATTTTTCATTACTAATCTTCCTATCTTTTTGTATGGCTACTGTAATCTGTTTTTCTTACAAACCAAACCAAACACCTAATTAACCCAGTTATTTAAGAAAGAATAGCCTCCATCTAGACATGTATCTTTTGATAGCTCTTTCTGTATGAAACAGATAGAAAAATCCATACAAATATAAGAAATCAATGATACATAGGAATATGATACAATGATGCATAGGAATAATTCAGCAGGAGATATCACTTCAAAGAGAGATTAAAGAAAGCGAGCCTCTAAGCATTTTCTCTCAAGGTTTCAGCATCTCATGGTCTGTGAATTGCTTAAGTTCTCCTGGTCCTCCAAGAATCATTGTCAGCAGTTTCTCGGCATTAGTAAAGCATGTGTACTAACAGAGTATTTCCTATCATTCCCCCTCCTGTAATAAAGACCCTCCAATCCTATGACAATTCTTTACTGTTCCTCTAAAACATGTTAGCAGAGTTGTCTGCATTTCCTGCCAAAAATGACTAATTCTTTTCCTAGGAAGTTTGAGAAATCTGCAGTTCAAGATAATTTGTGCAATATATAATCTAAATTCGCAGAGCAGAATCAATAAATATGATGGACTAAGATGGATTAGTGAAATTGTCTGGCAGTGAGGAACGGAAAAAAAATCTTTGAAGTTATTAGACTTTCTCATATAGAGAAATCTCTGACAGAGACTTGCCTTAGGAGCTGTATATTGTGATGTTCCACGGAAAGATCTCACATAATGCACAAGGATGATACGCAAATTTGTGAAGCTTTCCATATTTTTTTTTTCAAAAAGGAAAGATCTCACATAATATTGCAGGCCCAAAGCTACAGTTTTAATGTTGGAAGGTTCCAATGTAAAGTCTAAGGCTAGAGTACTTTCCATAATATAAACAGTCTTCAAATATTATAACCTAGTGGCATTTCTTAATGGATACATAAAACTATTCCTGATCAAGTCAGGAGTTGGTAGTAAGAGTGAAGTTTCTGACATATAGGAAATGTGGTGACAGTGAATTCATTTCCCTCTCCGGACTACAGCTGTGTTTGCTTGTTTGTCAAGAAGCTTGTTCTGTATGTGAGTGCTATCTCTGAATCCTAAGCTCATTGTCCTTCAGAAGGATGTTCTCTACACAGGACATACAGCATGGATGTTTGCAGAAGATATTCATGAGAAATTGTAAACATTCTGGTCTATACACAAGCAGAAGGCTCGTATTATCAGGGTCGTTGCTCGAATGGAAACGAACACAGTACATTCAAACAGAAAGGCATTTCCCCTGCAGACAGTTGTGTTGTATACAGAGATGTTTTGAGGCAGAGCCGATGGGGAGTTTTTATAGCGAGTATATTCTCCTTTTCTGAATGCTTGAATAGTGCTTTCCAATTAACACTCTTCGACAGGCTTTATAAATTGTGTTGGGAGACATGATGTGCCAGAGGCCCATTTATGTTGGAAATAGCTCCACATAAAAGGGAGCAGCACCGAGCATCTGCTTCATCACACGTTTCATATCTTTTCTTTTATGAAGTGCGTAAAACAGGAAACCTTCAAACAGGTTCCAAAGCATACTTAGCATGGCTTAGTTTAAAAAAAGAAAAGTAATTAAAATGCAATAGTAAACCCTAATAGAGATTAATATCAAATGGACATAAAAGTCAGAAATACATTGGGGAAAAAACTAAAAATGCCCCTATGAAAAGCAATATGCATTTCATAAAGGAAAAAGCCTGAGAGAATAAAATCATCTTTGATACCAGAATAGCAACGGGTGCTAGACTTAAATTACCAGGAAGAGCCAGCAACAGCTATAGCTGAAATCCACCTGTCTGGAAATTGCCACTGTTAGGAAATTCTGCCTTAGGATAAAGAATGGGGGAAAAGCATTCTAGATACTGAAGCAACTAGAGATTCAAAATCTTGTATAAATTTAGGCCAGCTTCTCAAATTGGGACCAGAAATGGATCAAGAGCCTGTGAATTTCATTAAATTAGTTTTGTGAGGGGTGAGATGATCATTTATTCAGGCCCCACACACAATCAAAGGACCACAACCAAATTTGGATTGAGCATTTGGAATTATTGTATATATCCTTTCTTTAATTCTAGATACAAGAGGTGTTTCTCTAATTGGGTTTAGCACACAGTTCCATTACTGGGCCATAAATGACAGTGACTAATGTTGATCTTGCAAGAGAAACGTTTTGTTTTATATGTTTATATCTTAGTGAAAATTCAGTTTTTCCAGAGCAGCTTACAAAATTTTAATAATCAACATATTTTAATAATCTTAGATTAAAACAGCAGATAATAAGCCACAGATATTAAGTTTGTATATTGTGCTACATCTTAAACTGTGCCTAGATTCACATGTAACTTGTTACTGGTTTAGCAGAGTGTGAGCTCAATAATTATATATATCCCCAATGATTTGGAGGGGGCTTGGACCAGTCTTGCTTACCCTGGCAAAGCATAAATGCTGTCAATATTCATTCCTGCTTTGTCTGGGTAGGAGATTGCTCAAATTCATTTAATATTGATGGATGTTGCCAGCTGCAGAGTTGGAAAAGACTTGTCCTAGAGTGATTTGTGAACTGGATCTAGGTCATTGTCTTCTCCTCCCATGGCTCCAAATACAGTAATTGAATTGGCTGTCCCTTCTCAATCAGCAAGGAATCTATACTGATTAGCTTCAGATGAATGGGCTTCCCAGGAAATGGTACTGAATAATAACTACAGAAGGAGGTAATTCCCAGGTCCCAGTAAAGATGCCTCTTGTAAATTCTGCTTCTGTGTTATTAAAACCTACCAATCTCAGAAGACGCTGTTAGCTCCTTCCAACACTTGCAATCTATTGAATTGGTGAATGTTGGATACCAGTGAGAATCTTTAACCTGACATTTGGATATTGGAAACAAAAAGCAAATCAGCCAAAACCTAATTGTGCTTCTTCACTAGGTCAAGCACAGTCTACTGAGAAGTTTCCTAGCACTTATGCTGCTGAAATAACCTGGAAGTACTCAAAATGCTACCAGGTTTTAATGGAGCTTGGGCATAATAATATTTCAAAAGAATCCAACTACATATGGATTAAACTCCCAGCCTTTTCCTCTGCCAATTTTAATATTATCCAGCTTTCCTGTTTGAGAAAGTTGCCAGCTTATTTCATGCTAATGAAGAGGGCAGAGGAGAGAAGGACAGAATAGAATTAAAAGATAATGTTTCCTTCCGATGTTTCCTTTTTTAAAAAAATTAATATCTCTTTTTCCCCCTTTGCATTATTTGCTTTTGGGACACTAGGTGAGATCTGTGGATTCCGGATCCATGGTGCAGGAGTGCCTTTTGAAGCAGTGATTCTTGACAAAGCCACAGGCGAGGGGTTGATCCGGGCAAAAGAGCCGGTGGATTGTGAAGCTCATAAAGAACATACTTTCACCATCCAAGCCTATGACTGCGGTGAGGGTCCTGATGGTGCCAACACCAAGAAGTCCCACAAGTAAGAGTTATTGGATTCAGTGCTGCAGTGATTTCCCCCTGAACCTGCTAAGTCCCTTGGAGTACACTAGTGTCGGGAGAGCTAGTTTGTTCAGGAAGTGAGTAGAATTGCTTCTTGGCTTGCAGTGAGATGTTTAAGAGTCTCTTGCATGTAATTCTGTGTTTTCTTCCTGCTGCTCACATTAGCCAACATAATGTGTATATCAGTGGAATCTAGTGTTTAATTTAAAATGCTTCTCTCAAAACAATTCAAAGCTTATGAAGAATTACTTGTCATCTAAGCAAAGGCCTTGTCCATGTCTTCCACATTCATTTCAATATGGCAATGGAAGACCTGCAAATGAGAATGGATGCTAGCAGTTAAAGGGCTTGATTCTTCCTGTGATCATTATTTTCTTCTTGAAAAGGCCACTCTAAGACTACGTCTCCCTTAGTCGGACTACTTTTAAAGCATTCCATGAAAAATATAAATATTGCTGAAAGAGTAATTATCTTGATGGGGAGGGAAGGCCTAAAAGCTGTCTTCTCAAAAAATGTTCACTAGCATTATAGTAAGAATGGAGGAGGTCTCCTGAGTCATCCTTATAGGAGTCTTATGAAGTATAGTACACATGCATTCTGGTCTTACTGTTCTTTGTTACAGTCTGATGAGGTAAATCAATGTACAATAATATGTCTATGGAGATTCTCAATCATCCAGATCATGGTTGTCCCACAAATGCTTTTCAAAAGGCAACTGGACTTTCTTGGGGGTTTTTTTCCTCCTTGAAGATGCTTTGCTTCTCATCCAAAAAGCTTTTTCAGAGAACTGAAAAAGCTTCTTGGATAAGAAGCAAAGTGTCTTCAAGGGGAAAAAAACTCCAAGAAAATCCAATTGCCTTTTCAAAAGTACCTTTGGGACAATGTACAGTAATAGTATAGAGGTAGATGGAGGAACTGTTACTGCCTAGCATTTTTCTCCTTTAAGAAAGGGTCTCTGGACCTAGTTGCTTACTACTCCCCCTTCTTCCACCCAGGGCCACAGTGCATGTGCGGGTGAACGATGTCAATGAGTTTGCTCCAGTCTTTGTGGATAAGCTTTATCGCGTGGCCGTGACAGAAGGAAAACTCTATGATCGCATCCTGCGGGTAGAAGCTATTGATGGTGACTGCTCCCCTCAGTACAGCCAGATCTGCTACTATGAGATCTTGACTCCTAATGTCCCCTTCCTGATTGACAATGATGGTAAGAACCTAAATTACCTTCTGGAGGTTGAATTGACCCAGATGTTGGAAAGCAGTTTTAGGCACAGCTGTGGAACAAGCCTATGTAAAGCATAAACACTCATGAATGACAGAATTGCTTGGTATTTTTCCCCTCTTAAAGGTGAAAATTAAAGTTATTTGGGAGTCACATTAAGGTTTTAGATCTTTGTGAGTTTTTTAAAAAATGGAAAACAAATATAATGTTGTTCTCTCCCCATTTCCACAGACTAAATTCACTTACACACACACACACACACACACACACACACGACTTAAAAAGCAGTTTTCTGTTTTGCTTTCAACATGATGTGTCTTTTCCATGTATACTCTTTTTAATGGTTCTTGCTTTTTTGTGCTCCTTTATCTGCCTTTTCCTTTTTCTCTTTTGCCTTTCTGTGGGGTTCTTTGGTTTGCTAATGTGGGGCTGTACTGTTTCTACCAGGGAATATTGAGAACACAGAGAAACTGCAGTACAGTGGAGAGCGCCTGTATAAGTTCACAGTGACAGCATATGACTGTGGCAAGAAACGAGCCTCTGATGATGCTGAGGTTGAAATTCAGGTGAAGCCCACCTGTAAACCTAGTTGGCAAGGTATGAAACTCTTTTCAGAGGCATTTGCATTACCTGTTTACCCTTTTGATCTCATCTATTGCCATCTGAATCCTTAGCCATATTTTTTTTCTTCCTTTTTTACTTATTATTCACTGTGCACTGCCTGGTTTTTTTTCGTATACAACATGTGGGCATACATTATCATACATAAATGCATTTATGTAGGATTGTATTCATAGATGCATGCATACATTTGTGTGTATAAATGTTTAGATAATGAACTATGTTATAAAAGCAGTTGACATTTTCACCATTCTTTTAAAAATAATTTTAATGAAATCTGTTGCCTGAATCATATTCCACTATTTTTAACCAATTAAAAACTATAATTAATTCAGTAATTGAGTAATCCAACTGATAAATTAGCTATAAATATTTTTGAAACAAAATCCAAATAACTCTGTACTTGTAGCCGGCTAGCAAACGAATTGTATTGTGTTTGATGCTACTGATGATAGTGGTGCCATAGATATTTTAAACCAGTGGCCCCCAACCTTTTGTGCACCAGGGACCAGTTCTGTGGCGTGAGGTTCTTCTACAGACTGGAAGGGCCATGGTTTCATGTGCTCCCTGCATCCCACAGATGGGGCTTCGCTTGTTTGCACAGCCCAGTTTTAGGCATGTATGATGCGGCCTGGTGCCAGTCCACAGACTGGGGCTTGGGGACTCCTGTTTTAAACAGTGGTTCAGCTTGGTTTCATTCTTAATTCAGTTCTTGTCCACTTGTTTAATAATATGATTTTTCCCTTTGTTTTATGCAGAAGAGGCATGTAAAAGGATTGTAAGAAGGGAAATGTTTTGAGTTTTCAGTAGGGAAGGCATTATTCAAGTTTAAATAGCACAGAGTATGCATTTAAAAATTATTTGGCTTGTGATTGTCTTTTAAAAAAAAATCTTAGTAACAAGCACCCAAGAGATTCTGGGTCTCCTTAGTAGGATTGTTGTATCTCGTTGGCTGTCTAAAATATTTTGATACAAAAGATTGAGTAGAAAAAGATTGAGTAGAAAAAGTCTCTCTACCAAGATACACAAGATCAAAATCTAGTTACTTGTTTTGAAAGTACCACTTTGCATGATTCGGATACTTGGTAACCAGTTTGCACTTAACAATGGTGTTCCAAAATAAAGTCAATAGGAAAACCTGCAGAAAATGTCACAAGTTGCTCCTGTAAGTTGCCCTCGCTCCCATTACTTTTTCTGCTGAGCACCCTGGATAATTTCTTGTACTTTGCAGCATGCATCAACCTACAGCAAAACCTCACACAGAGTCTTAGCATACACCTGTCCAGCTGCATTCACCCAGAGCTGCTGTAGCTACCAGTGCACCCTCTGGCAACCAGCAGCAGTTATCACTCCACCCACATACCTGGTTGTGCTTACGTCGCATTGCAGCAGTTACTTACCTGCCCTCATTCTTGCTTGCAAGTACCCTGAAACTTGCAATTTCCTGTTGGTTTCCCCATTGACTTTGCTTGTTGGAAGATGGCAGGAAGTCACCAGGAGCTCTCACTTGACAATCTGCAATCCTCACTTAACAATGACATCAGGGACTGCCAGCATTTCTATCATTAAGCAAAGCAGTCAAGTGACATCACTCTTTATGACTACATCCCTTACCAATGGAAATTCCACCCAATAATCACTGTTAAATGAGAACTATGGTACTTGTAATAATTAATTAAGTAATTCACTATTTGCTGACCTTTTGTGATACCAATAGTTTGCTCCAGCATCTTATGAAACATTTTAAGAAAGGTTTAAATCAGTGGTAGTCAACCTTTTCTACCTACCGCCCACTAATGGATCTTTCTTGATGGAAAAATTTCCTTACCACCCACCAGTTTTTGTGCAAGTGTGGAACATGAGCATATTTCTTTTTTTCAGACATGGGTTCTAAATTTGTTTCACAATTTAACAACTACTTTTACTCTTACGTTTTGATCTGCACTCCACACAGTGCTTTTTTCCCTCCTCTTTTCCCTTTTATTACAAACACCAAAAACAATGCTGTATTAGGTGCCAATTTTTATTAAGTGTCACCATCAAAACAAAATTCCTTTTCCTGCCTTCTTCTTCTTTACCTTATAGTATTTCACTAAATCAAGGATCTC